TATATATACAATTTCGTAGTTTAATGGCCATGTGCTTTTCTCTGGATTCGTTTGGCTACCGTGAACCGATTGGGTCTGAAGAAAGGGCTCTGCTTATTTTTCACAGCTGATGAGAGCAGTTTTTGCTTTAGAGGATTGAGACACTTGAATTCTTTAATGCTTCCCGAATGCTTACACCTAACTAGATGCGTTTTTTTGGCGTGTTAGACCCACCTTGCAAAATTTGATAGTTGTGACTTGTTTTCCACGATGAGCGAAAGGTTCAAAACAAACAATGAACTGTCGTTCACCAGATGCGCAGAATATTCATGTGGGAGGGGATAACTAGTTTGAGTTGCGATTATGCTCTGTTATTTCATCCAGTTTCGTTGAATTCAAGTGCGAATGAACTACAGTTGACTTCCTAACAAACAGTATTATTCCAACTATTCAATCACCCGATATATATATATATATATATAATGTATGTATACTAGGCGACTGCTCTTCAACCAAATCAGTGATCAGACTTTACCGAAGCTGGCCTCATAACGAACAGATAAACCTGAAAAAGTACAGTCCAGAAGTTGACGAACCCCATGGACGATGTCTACGTTGTACGATCAAAAGAGATAGAGACGCAAAAATCTGGAAGGGACAATGAAGGAAGTGTTTATATCAGTAAATGTATAGAAGGGGTTGTCTTGACTCCAGAAGACGCGTCACCACTGGTAGAAAACACTTGTGACAGCGTTTCGCGAGAGACAACTCAGAAGTTCGGGGATCAGGAAATCATACTGACGGTGAACTGATGGTGTGATCTGTGTACTTTAGCAGGGCACCAAACTTGAAAGCTACTCATTACACTGTGATCCGCTTTGTAATGCAGGAAATCAGGAGTTCCTTTATTCATTACATACACCAGTGTGATGAACGATAGACTGGGTAGAACCCATAGTCACGAAGACCTGCTGTTTAGTGATGGAAACCGGTAACCTAACCCCAGGACTAAGAATGGCGAACCACTAGGTTGTGGTATTGAACCAGAGTTTCCACATCTTCACATCATCGTACTGTAGAGAGAA